GGGGCCACCTGTGCTGGGGTCCACCGCGACCGGGGTCACCTGTGCTGGGGCCACCTGTGCTGGGGGCCACCGCGGCCGGGGCCACCTATGTTAGGGGCCACCGCAGCCGGGGCTCTTGGGAACCGAGGCGGACAGATCGGCCCCGCTAGGGTTGGCTACTTTAAATACACAGTAGCCCAGAGTCTTCTCTCTGCTAACGATTCTTTATGCACACTTGTCGCGCACAACCCACGATCTTTTCCTTAAGGGCGACCCTCCACTGTAACTGGAAGTGTTTTGAAGCAGTTCCCCGTCAGAGCAGACCTGACAGATAAAGCCGGCCGGGGCCCAGCAACACTCACTAACCTGTTTGTCCAAGGTCACCCGCAATTGCACAACCTTCACCAGTTCAGTCCCCTCCCCACATGAAGAAAGACCAACCGGAAAGCCGGGACGAATTAAGTAAGGCTGTGCAGTTTCCAAAGCCCAACTGCATTCTCTTAGCCCTTTAGGACCTGTGTATACCCTGTTTTAACACGAAGTACGTAAAAGTTACTGCCACTGTCTTCTTTCAAGTCTCCATAATGCTCCATCTCCTCCAACGTCATTTGCAAGATTTATTCAGAAATAAGCAGTACTGAGTGAGCTGCTCTTTAGCGTTATGATCCCCACTTAAATAATCTTGGTTGTGTAACAGTTGACGCCTCACCTTCCTCCAAATCTGGGTAGTTTCACAACTACTGTACCTTACTGTTAGTTTCATGTCAAACTATGCTTACTGTAGTCATTTTATATGGAAGTAAGCTTTTGTTTTGGATTCATTTGCCCGTGAAACTGCTGTCTCAGGATAGAGAACTTCAGTCAGACCTTACCTAGGATGGCTGGCTATTAGGAAGCCTACTTGCTGTAAGTTATCCAAATGAACCTTAAAATGGTGAGTCAGTGCCCAGGGGAAAGGACATGTGCTCTCATATCCTCACAGTCCATCTGGATGAGGGAAGTCTAATATGCTCAATTAATGTTCTACCAGTCACTATGCTAGAAGGGATTATACCAGTAAGCTTTGTTGTTCTCCGGTACTTCCTGTTTGAGCTTCTTAAATTGTAGAAGGGCCTGTTTCCTAATCTTTATTTATCTTTCGGTGAGTGTAGTACCTGCCCCTCCCA